CTCATGTCTATTGGACCTGAAACACAAGGGTTAGTACCATTTACTGTTTGGAACTTTAGGAATTTCTGCCACTACAGGTTTGGGTTCAGCTTGAATGGTATAGATAAATTTAACAAAGAATCACTATCCATGGTCATGTGACCTACCTAGGCAACTGCATTTTGAAAAGTATAGCTGATGATTAATATGATCAACTTTTTAAATATTGAAAAAATGGATTTTCAATGATATTTTTTAACACATGTTTATCAATAATATTTAAGGTATTAATAAATAGATGGGAACATAGCCTTTTAAACATTTAAATGTCATTACAAGAATATTGCTGTTTCCATCTTTTATCAACCTTCTTGTTACTGATTTCATGAAAAAAACCTCTTATGATAGTTTAAACTGCGAGAACCCATATTTTAGCTCAATCGACATACAGCCTTCAAAACCTTTTAAGCGCCACTTGACCACACTCACTTTGCTCTCGGGGAGATATTCTCCCTCGTCTGGGACATCGGCTCCATCTCTTCCCCATCGGGAATCTCAGCCCCAACCCCCCATTGCCGTTTGTTGTTCTTGCTGTTATTATAGTTGTTATCATTGATGTCATTATTATTATATGAATCACACTGACTCAGATTCTAATCAATTGTAGACAATAAAAACTTGGTTTGTTGTTTGTTGTTCAACTTTCTTTATTCATTCATTTGAATTACTTTGCCTTCTATACATATTAGTATTCATACAAGTGAGAATCTGTGGAATATATGTACTGGTAGTATCTTGGAGTAAAGCATGTACCTTACTTTTCCAAAAAAACTACATCCTTACTAATATGCAGAGATAACTTTTTATACATTTTTATTTTTGTTTATTTTTTGATAATAATCTACTTTATCAATTTACACCTTTATGGTTTTATAATCAATAGCTTTTGGTTCCTAAGAAGATGCATACAGCAGGAAGCCTGAAAACGTGCAGTATGCATATCCATCACTGTAGTAATAATTATGACTTGTTGATCAAGGTTCAGTCCACACTTCATCATTGGCTACTAAATCTAGGACTAACATATTACTACCGAATTATTGCGTACATTAAGTCTATTATAAACAATCAGGACGACTTCAATAGAGTGTACTATGGAGATATACTATGGAGAACAATAGGTTTACCAACCGTAAATTATGCATGCTCTGTATGGTTCTGTGCCGGAAAATCGGCCACTACCAAACTAGAAAATCTCCAATACCAGATGGCTCGAACTATTTTATGTGCACCACGAAATGTAGCTAAAGACGCCTTGTATG